GAACTAGAAAAGATTCTTAAGTGTAAGGATTTTTGTCACTGACAAAAAGATCAAGATAATTCTTGCTACAGTGTTCCCCATCGCTGTGTACGGGTGTGAAAGCTGGAGAATGAAAAAAAAGCTGACAGGAAGAAACTTGATTCATTTGAAATGTGGTGTTGGAGGAGACTTTTAAGGATAGCGTGTACAGCCAAAAAGACATATCAGTGGGTTCCAGATCAAATCAAGCCTGAACACTCCCTAGAAGTTAGAATGACTAAACTCAGGTTATTGTACTTTGGTCACATTATGAGAAGGCGAGATTCACAGGAAAAGACGATGCTAGGAAAATCTGAAGGCAGCGAGAGAAGAGGAAGACCCAAAATGAGAAGAAGAGAAGAGATTGGATTCGTACCCCGCCCTTCACTTGGAGTCTCAGAGTGGCTTACAAACTCCTTTCCTTCCCCCTCCCCACAACAGACACCCTGTGAGGTAGGTGGGGCTGAGAGAGCTCTGACAGAAACTGCTCTTTCCAGGAACAGCAGTGTGAGAACTATGGCTTGCCCAAGGCCATCCAGCAGCTATGAGTGGAGGAGTGGGGAATCAAACCCGGTTCTCCCAGATTAGAGTCTGCACACTTAACCGCTACACCAAACTGGCTTGAATCAATCAAGGAAGCTGTGGTCTTCAGTTTGCAAGATCCGAGCAAGGCTGTTAGGACATTTTGGAGGCCAGAAGAGACTTGATGGCACATCACACACACACACACACACATCACACACAAACACACATTATGGCAGGGGTCCCCAACCTTTTTGAGCCTGTGGGCACATCTGAAATTTTGACACAGCACGGTAGGACTACCAACAGGATGGTTACCACAAAATGGCTGCCACAGGAGGCAGAGCCAGCCACAAAATGGTTGCCACAGCTTACCTTCAGCAACACAGTCTAGATCCTTGTGCTGTGGTGGCACCTGCCACCAAAACAATATTTAAAAAATCAGCACAGCCAATCAAATCTCCAAAAGTCAATCAGAAGCCTTGCTGGGGAAAAGCCCTACCTGGCCCCACCCTAAAAACACTTGGCGCGCGCCAGAAAAGATGTTGGCAGGCACCATGTTGGAGACCCCTTCTCGATGGCATTATACCCTGCTGAGTTCTCTCCCCAGCTTCCACCTCAAAATATCCAGGAATTTCCTATCCCAGACCTGGCAACCCTGTCCTGCACTGTTTAATAGCTTAACCGCGTTACCTCATTCCCGTGCTCATCTGTAATGGACACATAGTTGGGGGCGCTTTCATTTGGGTAGGAAAGCAGGACGTCGTAGTGAACAAGCTTGGCTGTATCCAGGCCGAAGTTCTTCCACTGAGCTTGGATCTCCTTTGCCAGGTGAAGATTCTGCTCCGTTCCGGCCACGTGAGGGAATTTCGTGAAAGAGCTAGAAGGGACACGGAAAAATGCAACGTGACCAAGGGCAGAGCAGTTGGACACTGTTGCAAATGGCTACATGACTCCTACCCCTTTTTAAATGCGGAGGAGGAGGAGGAGATTGGATTTATACCACGCCGTTTACTACCTGAAAGAGTCTCAGAGCCGCTTACGATCTCCTTCCCCCCCACCACCACGACAGACACCCTGTGAGGTAGGTGGGGCTGAGAGAGCTTTGAGAGAACCGCTCTTGAGAGAACAACTCTGAAAGAACTTGTCACTGACCTAAGGTCACGCCAGCAGCCGCATGTGGAGGAGTGGGGAATCAAACCCGGTTCTCCCAGATCAGAGTCCACGCTCCTAACCACTGGCTCTCTTTAGTTCAGGTTGTCTCTCCCAGTGCTCTAAAAATTCAGAGCTGGCTTGGAATTTTATCAGCTGGCTTGGAATCTTATCAGTTCATGATCAAAGGAAGCTGAATGCTTACCGCAGAAACTCCTTGATGTTGGCAGCTTTCATTTCTGTAAACAGTTGTCTTCTTGCATCTGGATGAAGGCCTGCAGGGCTTGCTGACTGGCCCGCAGGTTTCACACTCCAGCCTGCAATGTGTCACAATAAACGGTGATTAACTTTTCTCTCTTTCGGATCCAGGCAAAATGAAGCCCCAAGCGCATGTTTGGTTTATTTTTCAAAGGTGCTTAACTACTGGTAGGTTCCAGATAGGAAGCTGTGTTGGTCTGTAGCAGGATAATAAAGCAAGAGTCCAGGGGCCAGAACTGACAGCTCCGGGTACGAAATACCAGGAGTTTTGGAGGGGTGGAGCCTGAGGAGGGTGCGTTTGGGGGCATAATGCCACAAAGTTCAACTTCCAAAATGGCCATTTCCTCTGGGTGAACTAATCTCTGTTACCTGGAGGAGATCAGCTGTAATAGTAAGAGATCTCCAGCCACCACCTGGAGGCTGGAAACGCTACTGGTGGCTACTTAACAAGAGAAGAAGAAGAAGAGGATTGGATTTATACCCCATCAAAGGAGTCTCAGAGCGGCTTACAATCTCCTTCCCTTTCCCTCCCCACAGCAGACACCCTGTGGGGTAGGTGGGGCTGAGAGAGCCCTGAGAGAACAGCTCTGAGAAAAATGTGACTGGCCCAAGGTCATACCAGCAGCTGCAGGTGGAGGAGTGGGGAATCAAACCCGATTCTCCCAGATTAGAGTTTGCTCTCTTAACCACTACACCAAACTAGCACAGTGTTGGAACACTTTCCCTATGATGACAGGTTAAAGCGCTTGGGGCTCTTCAGCTTGGAGAAACAACGGCTGAGGGGTGACATGATCGAGGTTTATAAGATTACTAGAAATAATGCCCGTTGCGGAAATAAATACAACGGGATCTAGAAAGAGGCTCTGGGAGAGTGCTCTGGCTTTGGGCAAACAGTGTCAGTTTTCTGTGGCGACCTCAGCAGGGTTTAATGACAGTCCACTGTTTTCTCCAGAGGGACTGATCTCTGCTACCTGAAGAGCAGTTGTATGTTTGAGTTATCTGTAGCCCTCACCTGGAGAGTGGTAACCATTGTTACCCATTCTCCTCTCCCCTATGAGGTATGTTATGCAACTGAAAATTCCAACTGCCTTGCAGGGGCGGGGGAGTTTGAGGTGTGGAATGGACTGAAGTCCAATCAGCTTCCATATGCAAAAGACCAGGTTGTCGCAGCAGTTGTGGTGTGGGCGGGACCCGGGCTTTGCCTTCTGATTGGTGGCGATATATGCTGAGGAGCAGTGCCATCAGCCATACACTAAGGGAGTGCATTTTAGAATTAGAACTTTGGCACCCACTATTCAATTATATATAAGGAGAGATGCATGGGATAGAGCAGGTAGAGAAAGAAGTACTTTTCTCCCTTTCTCACAACACAAGAACTTGTGGGCACTCCATGAAATTGCTGAGCAGTCGGGTTAGAACGGATAAAAGGAAGTCCTTCTTCACCCAAAGAGTGATTAACACATGGAATTCACTGCCACAGGAGGTGGTGGCAGCTATAAGCTTGGACAGCTTCAAGAGGGAATTAGATAATGGAGCAGAGGTCCATCGGTGGCTATTAGCCTTAAGGGATAGATAGGAACTTTCGGTCTGGGGCAAGTGATGCTCTGTTTGGTGCTTGGGGGAGGGGGCAACAGTGGGAGGGCTTCTAATGTCCTGGCCCCACTGCTGGACCTCCTGATGGCACCTGGTATTTTTGGCCACTGTATGACAGAGTGCTGGACTGGATGGGCCTTTGGCCTGATCCAACATTGGTTTCTCTTATGTTCTTATTCTGTTATGAGTCAAACTAAGGTTGGGTGGAAAAATTTCAGGAGATTTTAGGGGTGGATCCTGGGGATGGCAGGGTCTGGGGAAGGGAGGGAACCTCAGTGCCGTGCCATACAGTCCACCCTCCAGAGCGAACCGGTTGGTGTCGTCTGGCGATCAGCTGCAATTCTGGGAGATCGCCAGGCCCCACCCGGAGGTTGGCAACCACAGTTGATGAGCACAAACGACTAAGGCAGGGTTTTCAAAGATAACATGAGCCACACAACAGTTGCCGACTGCCTAGAAAGAAAGAAAGCTGGCCCACTCCTTAGCCTTTACCAGCACGACAACAAAGCAACCTGGGAAACATTGCAGGGCATGGAGACGGCATCAGCCACACGCTAATTTCTGCAGGTCATGGCAGAAGAGCAGGGACTCGTGACAAATGTGGCAACTCCACAGCAGCAGGAGGATATTGCTGTCTTTCTAGCCAGCCTCCAAGTGGGACCTGGGGGTCCCCCGGAATTACAGCTCATCTCCAGACCAGTGTTCCCTCTAAGCTGAGTTAGTGTGAGCTAACTCACAGTTTTTTTAGCCTCTGGCTCACAGATTTTTGTCTTAGCTCAGGAAGGATGGCTCCAGAGCAAACTAATGTAAGCAGCAGCCAAATCGCTTGCTCACAACTTTGATGCCGGTAGCTCACAAAGTAAAATTTTTGCTCACAAGACTCCACAGCTTAGAGGGAGCATTGCTCCAGACCACAGAGATCGATTCCCCTGGAGAAAATGGATGCTCTGGAGGGCGGACTCTGTGGCACTGCACCCCTCTGAGGTCCCCGTCCTCCCCAGGCTCCATCCCCAAATCTCCAGGAGTTTCCCAACCTGGAGCTGGCAACCCTACCCGCTCCACCCCCTGTCAGTGGCAAGGAAGGAACCTGGCAGCCCTTCTTTCCTGGCGTTGCTACATCAAGAAGCAAAGGCTTCAAATGTGCGATTTGCAGCTCCAGACGAATGGGTGCCTCGTTCCCTGCAAGCCGCTGCAAAGAAATAAGTAAGTGAGCGCCGTCCTTGTATGGTCTTCTTTGTTCTCTGTGACCGACATAGCAAAAAGAAGGGGGGGAAAAAACTTGTTTGGATAGAGCTGTGGGTTTTGTAAACCAGAAGTGTTATGCAATGCTCAGGCTCAGCAGAAAGGCCTCCCGGTTCACAGTCGGCCCTCGAGGAGTTTAACAGATAAATAATTCTCATTGCTACAGTCTTGAGACGGCTGAGGCGTCGTTCACACACGCCCGAGAATAAGGCACTAGGATGGACTGCGGCCTTTCGGACTGTGGCGTGTGTGTGATTTCTGTACATAATATTTTGCATTGAAAACTCCATGACACTAGAAAACTAGCAGCACAGGGGGAACGGCTCCATCTGCTCTTTTTCGGTTCTGTGTCGTTTTTTTATTTGCACACAAGGTTTGCCAATTTGGGGTTGGGAAACTCTTGGAGATTTGGGGGCTGAAGTCTAGGAAGGGCAGGGTTTGGGGAGAGGGGAGACCTCAGTGGGGGACAATGCCATAGAGTCCGCCCTCCAAAGCAGCCTTTTGCTCCAGGGGAACAGAAGAAGAAGAAGAAGAAGAAGAAGAAGAAGAAGAAGAAGAAGATTCCTATCCATGCTCTTGCCTCCAGCAGTCTGAAGTGGTGCAATCCATTCTTCCCCTGCATTCATGATTCTTAGTGAGTTGTCACCTCCAGGTTTGGAAATAGGTGGAGATTTTTGAGGTAGAGCCTGAGGAGGGAAGGATTTGGGGAGGAGCTTCAGTGGGGTAGAATGCCACAGAGTCCAACTTCCAAAGTGGCCATTTTCTCCAGCTGAACTGATCTCTGTTGCCTGGAGATCAGATGTAATCCCAAGGGATCTCCAGCCACCACCTGGAGGTTGGCAACCCTATGTATGATGCAGATGTTCCTTGGGAGCAGACCCCACTGAAGTCAATACTTTATTTCTGAATAAACTGGCTTCAGACCAGGCTGCAAGTTATGCACTACAGAAATCACAAACGACATGTAGATTAGATAAGTAAAGAAGAGGCGGTGGGGCAGGGAGTTAATGTAAATCGGCCCCGGTTTCAGACCAAAGGCAGCGTTTCGCCTCTTCAAAATCCCAAACTGTCGCCAGGGAATCTGGTCGCTGTACCTTCTGCTCTACTGGCTTCCCCCCTCTAGCCTCCCTCAAGCACAGCGGGGACAACATTTGGACTTTCCCCCTTCATTGTCACATATAATCCAGTAGATCCCTGTACGAAGAATCATTTAACTGCTCTTGCCAGGGATTCTGACCACGCCACTGCGATTTCCAATAGCAACTGTGTGGCTGACAGAGTTTTGAAAGTGGGTCCATCAAGAAGGAAGTATTTCTTTTCTTCCCCCCCCCCCCCGCTTTTCTTTTTTTCAGTGATATCCCACCTTTCTCCCCAATGGTGGCCCAAAGCAACTTACATCCTTCTCTTCTCCTCCATTTTATCGTTCTCTCTATTTTATCCTCATAACAACCCTGTGAGGCAAGTTGTAACCGCAGGAATAAAAGGCTTTGAAAGGGGATTAGGCAGATTCATGGAGAAGAGGTCTATCAGTGGCTACTATCCATGGCAACTGAGGGGAACTTCCACACTCAGAGGCACTAAACCTCTGAATCCCAGAGCCAGGAGGCAACACTGGGGGAAGGCCTCGGCCTCCGTGCCCTGTTGTTGGCCCTCCAGAGGAACTGGTTGGCTTGGCCACAGTGTGAGACAGGATGCTGGACTAGATGGACCACTGGTCTGATCCAGCAGGGCTCTTCTGATGTCTTCTGGGTGTGAAACTGCAGTCATTGGGGGTGTGGGGGGGAGGTATTTGTGAATTCCCTGCATTGTGCAGGGGGATGGACTAGATGACCCTGGAGGTCCCTTCCAACTGATTCTATAACTGGCCCAAGGTCCTCCAGACCGAGTGGAAGTTCCAGTCTGGGTCTCCCCTGTCCTAGCCTGACATGCTGCAGTACCAGCTCTTACCGCGGCATCCTAAACCCCATGGACGTCAGTGGATCTCAGAACCTAAGCAGAGTCCACTTTGGTGTAGTGTAGAGTCCAGTTTGGTATAGTGGTTAAGTGTGCAGACTCTATTCTGGGAGAACCGGGTTTGATTCCCCACTCCTCCACTTACACCTGCTGGATGACCTTGGGCAAGCCGTAGTTCTGGCACAGCTGCTCTTGAAAAAGAGCCG